CCCGCGGAGACGCAGAAAGCCACTCGCAGCCGGAGAGACGCCGGGACACAAAGACCTCGCGCCAGACGCAGACCCAAGTTTCTCCCTGCGAACGCGGGGGGCTGGGGCCGCGTTCCTCGAGAGAACAGACAGGAGAACGCACAAACCGACAGACGGGCCCTGGGACCCCGACTCCCCCGAGGGAACGAATGACTTCCTCAACCAGGATGTCCCGATCGCCTGCGCCTCCCACGCGGCCCTCCCCTGGCAGATCGTTCGCAGGGCAAGCCAGAGACGCGAGGGAAAGTGGGGTCCAGGGGCGCCCAGACCCGTCAACCCGGCTTCCCGCCGAGGCCCGCGCGGAGCCCGCGTAAGGGCGCGCGGACACTCGCCCTCCCGGGCCCGCTGGCCAGGGCACTGGCTGAGGCTGGTTCCGAGTCCAGAACCCACAGTCGAACTTCTCTAGGTCCCGGGGCTCCTGGGGTCAGGGCCCTGGGAGGGGCGCAGTCAGGGTGAGACTCTACAAGGGGGCGGGGGGGGGGGCTCGGGATTCGCGTTACCTGCGTCGGCCGCGCTCGGACTCCGCTCTGGGGGCTGTAGCTCAAAGCCCCGACAAGTCTCCGCGTCCAGCCCGGGAGGGGGCGGCCGGGCCCGGCACAGAGAGGCCAGGACCGCGAGCGCCTCCTGGCACCGAGGCCCCCCGGCCCCCCACTCCCCGCTCATGCCGGGGATCCCGGCCCTCGGAGCAGGCGCCGAAACCCGCACGGCGGCGGGACTGGGCGGGGCAAGGCCACCCCAAGAAGACCCTCCCCGCTGCAGCCCCCTGCAGCTCCGTTCGGCTTTTAATCACTTCCCCGCAGGGTCTCCGCCCCTCACGTGGCACCCCGCAGGCAGCTGGCAAGTCTGGCGCCTCCTGGCCGCCCCCTCTACACGCCAGGACTGGTCTGAGTCCGGGCGGGTTCGAGACTGGGGAGCCGGGTTGTCCTGCATCCTGGAGGGTGCAAGACCCAGGAAAAGCCTGGGATCCGCATTCACTGCCTGATGTGACCTTGGGCCTCTTGGGGCCTCAATTGTCCTCTCTGTGAACGGAATATAATAATTAAGAGTGTTTCACGGGCTGCTTGGGGATATAAAGACAGTGTTTGCGAAAACACTGGGTAAATTGCCACATGCCACACATTGGCACGAAATAAATAAACCAGCGGAAGGATGGTCGGCGGAGGGCGAGAAGACAATGGCCAAGGTACCTGACAAGGCAAGTTAGTCAGACTTGCCCCAAGCCTTAGATCGGGAGGCAGAAGACCCCAAGTCTGAGGGGCGATGCCAACTGCAAAAGACTTTCTGTGCCCCGCAATCCTGCGGTCCATGGTACCCGCACGTTGCTATGGCGACTGGAGACAGCGGCCGTCTCTCTCCATGGCAACGGGAGGGGAAAGTTTCTGACGAATAGGAATCAGGGGGGCATTTCTGGAGGGCGCCCTGTTCCAGCCAGACCCACCTCCCTCATAGATGCCATAACTACGAGACATAATGTATCTTTCTGTTAAGTTTAACAAAGGCCGGAAAGACCGAACCAGAAACGGGAGGACTGAGGGGAGACTTAAGTCAGAACCCTCTTCAGGAGCTGTGATGTCAGGTCCAGGAGCAGGTTGGCTGAGGAGCTCTGAGATGCTCAGCCCTGCCGATCTCTGACTCCCCAAAGGCTCGCGTCCTCCACAGGTCTGCGGGCAGGTCCCTTCCTGTGTGAAGCTCACCTGAAGCTCCAGGCTCAAGTCCCGTTTGCCTTCCCGGAGCCGGGAAGGAAACTTAAGCTGGAACCCCCGGAAGCGGCGGGGCCGGTGTGTACCCGGTGGCGGGTGGGGGAGGAGGGTCTTTCCTTCTTAATTAACACGCTAATTGGAAGTGACTGGGCGGTGACTCACGTTCTGGGGGGAGGAGATTCGTAGCTTCAACTCCCTGTCTCCACCGTGCGCCATCTGCACCAAGCGCGCCAGCCGGCCCCTCGGACTTAGAGCTAGTACCCCCGGCACAGAGGTCAAGTGGAGACCTGAGCGTTCTCTGCCCACCCAGGCGGTTGTTCCTCGCGGGACGCGCTCCTTGGCTCTGTCCACGGTACTGAAGGCCCAGTTACAACTGCGGCTGGCACAAGATTAGGGAAGGGGGTTGGGGGAACAGTAGCGAGCGCACAGCTGCCACCCTGACCTCTGAGGCTTGCCTGAAGAAAGGGCTAGGGATTCAGGCGGCAGGGACCGAATGGGTGCCATCCCTGTGGAAGGTGCTCAACTGCTGTTCCAAGAACAGGGGAGGGTATGGAGTCCCTATCCCCTTCCCACCTGATGAGCTGAGAGACCCTGCCACCTGCTTCAGCACCCATATACAGAGCTGAGCACGTGAGGAAGATGGGTGCTCAGAGCCCCATGTTATATACTCATTAGCAGTTTCCCTCTGGCAGGTTTGTGTTTATGTAAAATACAAATGGAGAAGAACTGCTCTCTGCCCTATTTATGGCAACTCTGTCACTCCGCGGCGATTTCTCCCTCCCCCTCCTGAGTTCCCAGGGAAATTCGCAGAACAAAGCGCCTTGTTTTTCCTTTGCAGAGGAGAAAAAACACTGGACCATTGCAAGGGCCCAAGACCGCGATGCAGGGAAATCAATATTTTGCTTACAACGAGTGGGGGAATTTGCATCTAAACTGAAGGCAAAGGAGCCTGCGTGGAGCAGTGCAGGTGGCAGAAGCCAGGAATTAACAGATAATTTCTCATTGTTCCCAGATTCAGCCTCCACACTCGGCAGGCAGTTCTGCAGTGTCTCTAGCGCTCCCGCAGCAGCTCTGGACCTGGTATTTCTCAGCGAAGAGGGAGAAGGAGGTTTTGTTCTGACAAGGTTGTGGGAAGGGGCTGAAACTCCCCGCTCAGTCAATAACTATTGAATTTGGAGTGCGTGTGTGAGCGATACATAGAGCAAGAAACAGGGCAGAGATGGAGACAAGAGAAAGTCAGAGATAGAGAGACACAGAGGCACAGGATGCGACAGGATCATAAACTGGCAAATACAGCAATACAGAGAGAAATACAGAGAACAGAGAGATGGAGAGACTAACACACTCGTGAGACACTCGCTCAGAAAGAGCAATAGAAGAGAAATGTGTTTACATTAAGAAAGAGCTCCACCCTCATCATCTTCTCATTCACCACCCCCCAGGTCAATTGCTGGCACCTGTAAGGCATAACCAGTCCCATCAGAAACAAAAGATAGTCATGTAAAGCTAGGAATTTTCCTCTCTAGAACCCTTTCTCCCATAAGCCCTCCCAAAATGCATGTGTCCATCATGCCATGAAAAAAAGCAAACTCAGACTTCCTGGGTCCCAGCCAGACCCAGGGCAAGAAGGAAAGAAGTGGAACTGTGGCCCCTTGGTGCTCGGTCTCAGGAGAAAACGTTCCGAGTTTCCGTTTAAGAGGGGGAGGAGAGAGAAGCAGACGCCCCACGTGGCCGCAGGGCCTGGCAGCTCGCCGGGCACTCGCAGGGCACCGGGAGGCAGGGACTGGGGCACCAGGCAGCCACGCGGCAGCCTGGCCTGTCAGGCATCAGCTTCCTTATCTTGGAGATGATGAAGTTGGACGCTCCTTCCAGCAATGACACTCTAGGATCTTCTATGAGGGGGGAGAAGGAGGAGGCTGAGTGGGAAAGGAGAAAGGGCATCCCAGTCGCCCACACAGAGTCAGGTGGGACCTCCCCCCCAGCACTCTCACCTCATCTCCAATCAGGGCTCAGCACCCCCAGTCCCATTCCTGCCTGCCTCCCCACCCCCAGGGTCCGGAATGCTTCCAAGCAGAGAGGGGAGTTGGAGGAGGGGTGGGAGGCAGAATGAAAGTAGGTTTGAGGCAGAAACCAAAAGCCTCCCACTCCTTCCCCTCCTCCCTCAGAAATAGCCCAAGTGCTCTTCTCCTGGTCTTTTAGACAATGGCCTGCCTGCCCTCGGCTAGGTTCCCACACTGCTCTGAGCAGCAACATCCTGTTGTGTTATGCTACAAATAAAATAAATTAAAACAAAATTACCATTTCTAATAGAAAATTAAACCTCAGCAGGAAATTGCTAATGCCGTAGGCGGGAGAAATGAGCTCCTTTGACATGAACCGATGTGTCAGATTGTCTTCCCCTCACAATGCAATTTCTAAATAGGGAGCCCCTTTCCCATCCCCTCTCCCCTCCCAGCCCCCAGCAGAGGTGTAAAGGCACTGGTCTGGAGATCCTGTCCCTCTGGCTGCAGGAAGACACAGAGAAACACAGATGCCCCCCCCTTGGCAAGCAGATTGGAACCAACAGGACTCTGACCCAACCTCCAGGCCTCATCTCCTCCCCCAAACTGCCCCACCTCCCGCTTCCCAAGACACATGGCCTCTTTATATATATATATATATATATAGATAGATA